GAAGAAGAAGAGAGGGAGGGGGGGGGGGGGAGAATCAATAAAGTCATGCTGCATGGCATGTGTTTGTTAACAGGGTAGATATTTTGATTCAGTATAGATTTGTTTCTGAAATATGCAGGAGAAATAAAAAAAAAATACAAATTCAAAATATTAATACAAACTATAGTACTTCAAATTAAACCTTTCCCCCAACCTTTTACCAAAGTGTGACACCAAAATAGCAGCTTACAACTTTAAAATATCTATCTTTAAATAAAAAAAAAAACATTCTGCAAGAGAAGATGGCCAACACAGCTTTGTATTAATTATTGCATGAAGTAATTTATGAAATTTATGAACTTTGATGAAAATGAATTGTCATTATTAAGAGCAGCAAACTTTTTTTTTTTTACTTGCTGCTTGGTGGAAAAGAAAAAAATAGGTTAATTATCCACCCAAAAAAAAGACCAAACAGCCTAATACAGCAAAACCCTAGAAACTTTATTTGTGAAATTCACTTACACCACTAGTGGTGCAGACATTACACACATTTCCCCTTTAGCACTATTTTTTATTTATTTAAGATCTCACCTTTATTCTCTTGGTGGTTTAGCACATTTAGGGCAGGCTGTATTTTCTCCTGAAGAATAAATAAATAAACTAAAGCACAGGAGTCACGTGCAGCTCTGATTATATAGTTTCTTTAGGACAAACAGTCCCATTGTACACTCTCTGACAGACCGCAGCTGTTGTGTATTACTCGCAATTAAGACACGCTTGTTACTCAGTGGTACGTTAGACTATAAAAACTCATTTGGAAAGTCAAACACGGACCCAAATACAAACTACACATTTGATTATATTGAAGGAGAAAGCGGACTACAACGACACCGTTACATGAACACCAAAAAATGCAGCATGAATCCAATGCGCTTGTGCACGAAACAAAACACTGCAGCTCTTATAATAAACTCCACACTAATAACAAGGTTTCTGCAGGTTTAATGAAAGTACTTTAAATTTAAGACTTTAAGATCTTAAGACAAAGAAAATATGAAGGGAACACAGTATGTCAATATGTTCTCGAAATGTAAATGGGTCAAAGATGAAAAGGGGGTTTCAAGCATCAAACTACAAAAGTTTAAAACAGCTTTAATTATTATTTTTTTGCATACAATAGAATGTGTCCTGTTTAATTTGACTTTTTCCGAGAAGAAAAATAATGACTATCATACATTTTTGACGTGATTTACAGAAGACACCCACTTAAATGTCATTTAGCGTAAGGATAGTTTATATACCAAAGAATCTCGTCACTCAGGCATATTTATAAAAATAATCATTAGATGACATTACAATACTATTTCAGACCCCAAAATTAATTGTAATTTTAAGTCTTTTACCACGATCTTTCAAATCTCTAGGTTTTACCCATCTGTCAGTTTTTAATAATTTAAAACATCATAAAATGTAGTATGACTTTTCTTTTATATATTTTAATAAGTACAGGTCAGAAAAAGTGTGCGGTTTCATTTATAAATAAAATATAAATATATCTATTATGCTGAATAAATAAATCTGTATGACGAAAGAACATTATTTCACCCTTATTTTGTCATTTTATTTTCACAAAAAAAGTTAAAGCATTAAAGTAGACACAATATATGTATATTTGATGTGCGCACCAAAATGGGACATCGCGTCTTTGATCCAAATGTCACAAATATTAGCAATATTTCAAGATTTGAAAATACAACTTTCAAAAGACCTACATTACCTTTTAATTCATTTTAAATTTATGATTAGAACAAAAACAAATATCTGCCAATGGACTATAATAATTTACTTAACTCAAAAGTGAAAAACAATTTTTGGCAGATATTTGTTGTTGCTTTAAGCAAAAACTGTTCATTTTGTGCTTTTGCTCTAAAAATAAGACTTCTGATGTCATTTTGCGTCTCAGTTAAATTTATCGTGACTCAAGGATGTTTAGATACTCATATCCAAGACCTTAAATAATACATATTTTAAGGCCTTAATTTGTGGGAGGACAACTTTTAAGACCTGCAGAAACCCTGAATGAAGATGTGAGCTAATTTATAATGATCGAAAACCCAAACAGAGTGCGACAATACGTGAGAATGAGAGAATAAAGTCAAAAACCCACAGTCCGGTGTCGACTAAACCAGCAAGTCATATTAGGAGGGCTCTGACGCTGTGCTAAAGGTCCTGGCAGACGGCCTCCGCATCAACGCTTGCAAATCTGCCCCAATAAAACGACTCCCAGATGCCCCTGGCCTCCTCACTGCTAATAAACAACAGTCCTGTGTGAGAAACACAAGGTTTATATGGGCTAGAATCAGCGTTAGCTGCAAACCTGAAGACTTAAACAAGCAAGCAAGCAACCAAAAAAACAAACAAACAAAAAAAACACTTATATAATTTCAACTTTACTACAAAGACAGACGTATGATCTGTAAGTACGGGGAACACTGGATTATTATTAAGTACACGATCTAAGAAGCACCATCATTATTGATCCTATAGTTCTCCTATGTGCATTAGCCTAAATGCTAGTGTTAGCTTTAGCACCATTACGTTGAGATGTCTATACACTCCTTGGCTTGAGCAGAACACACAAATGGCGCAGACGGAGGACGATAACATCCCAATAATCATCATCGTCATCATCATCAGTAGGTGGAGCAGCAGTTATAAGAGTCTGTGCGCGTGTTTTAAGGAAAAAAAATCTCATACTAAAAAAACCGCAAAAACGTCTATGGAAGCATTCACATCATCCAAAACTATTAACTTTCACATTCTGTACAATTGTTTTCTGTCAGCTTGTGGCTTATTACATCTATCTACAGTACAGTAAAATTTCCACAGTACAAAAATATATTACAATTCTCCTGGAATATTTACATGGGCACTTTCTCCATGAAAAAAAGCATAAGATAATCAGCAGAGCGGAGGACGCAGGGAAGGAAAATCAAAACCGTGGTGTACAACACATCCTCCCAGACAGTTTAAAGTCCAGCACCGACACGGTTCACAATTTTGTGCCTTTTCCTCTTTAAGGGATAAAAACACACATTAAAAATTCACTGCATGCTGTAAAAAAAAGAAAAAAAAAAAAAAAAAAAAAAAAAAAAGAGAAAGTGGAGGGGGAAAAAAGCAAAGGGAAAAGAAGTCCCGTCTCAAAAGATCCGCGCATCCACTTCGATTTGGGTACGTCAGCAGGCGCTGACAGAAGCCGCCCTCCCCACCCAGTCTCCTAGAAAAACATCCTGAAAACAAGCAGAACCTGCTTTAGTATGACGCGCACACACACACAAACGCACAACCACGTCATTTCCAATTGCACTTCTGTACGGCAAAACGATGCATAAAGATGCTCATCAGAGCACGCCAGAGCCCTGAAGATGACGGGCATCTGTTATTTAGCGCCGCGTGGGGAGCTGAAGACATCCATGCTGTCATTAACATGCATGAATACATGCGCCTCCGCCCACAAAGCCTTCGCCTTGACCACATGCTCAGAATGCAGCACATTCCACGCCAGTGCGAGAGTCTGGGTAAACAAACTCCTACTGCAGGCTAATAAACAAAATAAATGATGTATTACAATCAATTAATAGCAGCTCTAACGAGGGAAACAATCCTGGAATCGCCATGTACGTCTGTGGGAGAAGGTCAAAGATGAGTTTACAGCATCTGTGACCCGGGCCGATTGTATCGTCAGCTTTGATTAATTTGCGTCTTCTCTTGGATCAAAGGTTATTGATCTCCCACCCAAGTGAGTTTGGGAGCGTATGTTTGGGTTCTGGATGCAGTGACGCCAGCGCCATCTGCTGGAGAAATTCATAAAGCATCTTCAGTTGCTCCCGTGGACCAAACGCGTGGAAGAAGTGGACGGCTTCTTCGCTCTTAAAGTTACGGGTAAAGTTTGAGTGAGCTGCTAATGTAGATCACCTGTAGATGTTGGGGTCCAACAGAACTGCCGTGTCCTGAGGAAGCTGGGAGAGGTGGACCACTTTGGTCTTCAGCTGGGGACGGTCGCTCTCACTCACCCAGGCGTCTGGAAGTCTGTGCACATCAGAAAGACAAAGAAACATTTAATATGGGCCATTTTTTTGACAGAACACATTCAGCATTTAAATAGCATGCAGTATGCATTTTGTACATAGTATGCAAATGTTCTGTATGTCAAAATGTGCATATACTATACACAATGTCCCAGATTTTGTAGTACACCGGTCACAGATGTGCCAGATTGTAGTACACTGCATGGGTACTACACATACTATAGTATAATGAAATGCACTTGACATACTAAATGTCAAAATGAGCTGTATACAGTTTACACTATAAATTATATGTCCTGTATGTCAAAATGTGAACATACTATGTACAATGTCCCATATTTTGTAGTACACCAAGCACACTGCACTGTGGGATATAGCATAGTACACCGCCAGAGCACACTGCATAGGATATACTACATCCTATAATGAAAAGCACTTAACATACTACATGTCAAAATGAGCAGTATGTGACATAGTATACCATGTATGACGTCCCATATTTTGTAGTATGCTGAGCACACTGCATTGCGTGATCTAGTATCCTACACAACCAAAGGATACTGCATAGGATACTATATCCTACTGTATAATGCTATGCACTCAACATACTAAATGTTTAAAAATGAGTAGTATACAACATAACATACAAAATACAATGTCCTCTATTTTGTAGTACGCATATTCTACACAACCATACTGTATAGGATACTACATCCTATAGTATAATGAAATGCACTCAACATACTAAATATCAAAATGTGCAGTATACATCATACTATATAAACAATGTCTTGTATTTTGTAGTATACTGGGCACATCATTTTGGGGGATCTAATATCCTACAGTAATAGAGCACACTACATAGGATACTACATCCTATAGTAGGATCCAATGCACTCAACATACAACATTTAAAAAAATGTGCAGTATACAACTAGTGCACACAACATAGTATACAAAATATGATGTCCCACATTTTGTAGTATGCTTAACAGACTGCTTCGTGAGATATAGTATCCTACGCAACCAGAGCACATTGCATAGGATATTATAGCCTATACAGTATAATACAATGATATACAAATACAATTCCTTCAACATACCACGTGTGAAAATGTGCCGCATTCAACCAGCGCTCACTACATACAACATTGTGTAGTAGGCCGAACACATTGCATTGTGTGATACAGCATTCTACATAACAGAATCATCTATCATGCATAGGATACTATATTAGGGTGACCATATGTGCCATTTTCCCAGGACCAGTCCTGGCCAGGATTTCTATATTGCCTAAAATATCTAGGTTTTGGCTTTGTTTGCGTGTGCAGACCGATCGGTGTATGACATCAAAGTACCATACAGACGGTTATGCTTTCGAAACGCTCTCGAGGTACTTTGATGTCAAACACTGATCGGTCTGAGCCGCACTGCTTTTAAGTCGAACACACCTAATATGTACGCGTTAATTAGTTGCTTCAGGTGTGTTTGATTAGGGTTGGAGCTGAACTTTGCAGGACAGTCGATCGCCAGGAGCAGGGTTGGGCACCCCTGCTATATACTATAATGCAATGAGCTCAACATCAAAATGTGCAGTATATAACACATACACAACATATAGTATATACACAACATATAGATTTTGTAGTATATTGAGCAATATATATTGTGGGATATTGAATCCTAAACAACCAGAATATACTGCACAGGATACTATATCCTAAGTATAATGCAATGCACTCAACATACATGTCAAAATGTGCAGTATACAACCAGGACACATTGCATAGGATGTCACAGAATGCAACATGCTAGACTGTCAATTTCCGATGTAATTAAATCATGATACATAATATTAACCATGATTAACAACATCTTGACTTATTACTGTATCATATTAACACCATCTTGACTTACTACAGTAGTCAACATTTGAAGTGGATCAAATCCTTTCATCAAAGATGCCCTAAAACCAAAACAATACCGTGTTCTTGTCTTAGGACAACTTTGATGAACTTCTTTGATCCACTTCAAATGTTGACTACTGTACTCTATCACATTGCCTAAAGTATCGTCATTTATATTAACAGACAACAAATAAAATTCATATACTGAAATGATGCTTCATATAGCATGAATAGTATGCAGTATAGGGTTCAATCAAGTACACCAGCAACCTTTTGATCAAGTACAGTACTTACAGAAAAATATACTAGTGTGCATACGGTATGTAAGCAGTATGCACATTCCTAATTCCAATCATAGCTTTAAAATATACACTACGTATCGCACTGCTTTTAAGTCGAACACACCTAATATGTACGCGTAATTGCATCGCTTTGACCATAGATCCCACCTTCTCACACGCAATGATTGGTCCATTATGTACAATGCTTGCATGTTATTGGTCAAACTACTTTTCGATCACTACCTTCAGCAAGCATGAAAACAGGAAAACAAAGCCAAAACAAATTCTGGCCAGGACGCGTTCTGGGAAAATGGCACGTATGGTCACCCTATACTACGTTCTTGTCTTAGGACAACTTTGATGAACTTCTTTGATCCACTTCAAATGTTGACTACTGTACTCTATCACATTGCCTAAAGTATCGTCATTTATATTAACAGACAACAAATAAAATTCATATACTGAAATGATGCTTCATATAGCATGAATAGTATGCAGTATAGGGTTCAATCAAGTACACCAGCAACCTTTTGATCAAGTACAGTACTTACAGAAAAATATACTAGTGTGCATACGGTATGTAAGCAGTATGCACATTCCTAATTCCAATCATAGCTTTAAAATATACACTACGTATACATATTAGCATTTGCCGGATAACACAGACACACATCCCTTCATTCCACCCTCTCCTCCAACATGCATTCCACAATGAGATTATTAAAAATGTTTTCCTTTTTTCCTCTCCACAGAGGAGCCTTGTGTGGCCCAGGCTTGTTGTGGTGACCCAGAAATCCATTTTAAACATCTCCTGAGACGGCAACTTCTTCAGTGTTATCGCTGAGCTGACAAACATTCCTCCAGCTCAGATTGATGCCCGACTTGGAATAGCAGTGTGCACATGCATACGGTCCCGTGCGAAGGTGTGCACGAGTGTACAGGTATGCAAGTGCATCAATTATCACAACACGGACCATTTTAGCTACAGTAAATTCAATGATATTAGCAGCGGGGCTCATTAACCATATAAGTAATTTAGGATTTAAAACCAGTTTAAATTGCACATCAAGATTAAAGTAAGCAGCTCATAATTCACTGCATTTATACTAAAAATGGTCAAATTAGAGTGGAAACCTGAGGACGGTTACGGGTAACGCGTTCAAAGGCCTCTTGTCTAAGCCATGGAAATGTTGAGAGCGAGTGGATACCCTTTAAAAAGTATTTATCTTGGACAAACTTGTAAATGGAAATGGAAAGCGAGTTTGTTTCCAGGTGGGTGGTGTTTCATGCAGGCTAGCGCTCTTCAATCCATTAAATCTGACATTAATGTGGACATTTACCACATAGAGCTGGGAATTGGTCTGAATCTGAGTGTTCAGGTGGATCTGATGCACCTCTGAACATAGAGACAGAAGAAATGGAGGTTAAACTGAAAAAAGTGAAAAATGACTGAAGACAACAGAAGAGAAAGAAAAAATGGATTTAGTGAGACAGGAAGAAGAGAAAAGTGATTGAGAGACAAAAATAACGTGTGAAAATAGGGAGAAACGGCATGTTGGCACATTATCTACTATTTCTAAGATAAGAACGTTTCTGTAAGCATTAAAATTCCCCAATGACCAACACTTGGCTTGCCAAAATGTCTAATATAAAGAGCACACTGGGTCAGATACTGTATCCCACAATGCAATGTGCTAAAAGTGACCTTCTATTTCAAGTGTGATGAATGAAACAGAAGAAGCATCAACCACAATTCCCTCTGTGGCTCATTATTTGATCAGAACGGCAATGTTTTTATACAAAACGACTCAATGCATAACAATCAGTTAATAATGGGATGAGAACTCGACACCAATTTAATAAAGGTCATTTGATAAATGTAGTGTAATATTGTCCAAATATGCATACTTCCTTACTACATAGTAGGTGGAAAATATGTGAAATATAGCATTATGTCCAAACTCATAGTACTCATAAAACAGTAGGCAAAAAGTACCCAGATGACCTACTATTTTCACAGAAATTCAGAAATGTGCATATGATGGGCACTTAATTATCCCATGAGGCCAAAAGAGATTTATGAATGGCAGTGAAGCGTTGCCAACTGAAGCTGGTAGGTCACATTACAATAACATTCATACTATATAGAACTTAACGGTCAAAGTACGTACTTATTTTAAAGTACAAAAGATTGTGATTTCAGACGCAGTCATTGTGTTGCATACTGTTTCACATTTTATATACATATACACATACAAACACACACACACACACACACACACACAAACACACACATATGCAAATGGCTGCAATATAACAAAGAGTGAAAAATTTAAGGGGGTCTGAATACTTTCCGTACCCACTGTATACATATATACACACACACATATATAAATATTATACACAGTATATATAAATAAAATTATAACTAGAGCCCGACCGATATATCGTTTTGCCGATATTATCGGCCGATATGAGCCTGACGCAGATGTATCGGTATCGGTGAATATGCCGCCGATATGAACATTTTTTTTATAGAACATACAACGCAGATTAAATGCTTCTGAATGGTGTAATTACTAATTTAATAATTGTAATTTAATTTACAAATTTCAACCGAGTCCGCTGCTTCAAATTATCCGCCCGCACTTATATTTGATCGTCACATTACAACGATTCTAATTCTTAGTTTTGCAAGATGATATGATGAATGGATGGTTAATTTTTAACAGCAGATTCAGTGACTTTAGAGACTAGAGCTGATCTGCGCATCACGGCACACGTCTGCGGCGCATTAAAGCCTGTGTTATGGCCACCAGAGCTGATCACGGCCACTCAGTCAATGCTGGTGTTTATACCGGCCATGCCGCGGCCCCGAACTCATGCTTATCACATCGGTCATATTACGTCGCGCCGCACCGCTCCTGTCCGGTGTAGAATAGAACCCATTATAATCAGTGATGTTGTCAACACTGGATGCAGTAAACTGAAGCCTCGTTCTATTTATGACGTGCTGACACAAAGTTCAAATGACTTTCAACGGTCGCTTTGTCGCGTCCTGTTGCGGTGAAGACAAGGTGTCAGCATAGTTTGTCAGTACAGTCAGTAACGTAGCAGATTGAATCTTTCTGCAGTCCAATAGACGGTGGTGCGGTGGTGGCTTGTGTCTGTTGAATGGTGATTTAACGCTATGTTGTCACGTAGTTGGAGAGACTCAATGCTTAAGTAAATAAACAACAATGTCCCCGTCTTTTACTCTCACAATGAGCTTATCATATTCGTTTGTTACATTAGTAGGGCCCAATAGCTTCCGCAATGCAGAAAACATGGACGGAATCGCGGAATCCAGTCATAAAAACGGAATTTACTGTATAACGTGGAATTTCATGGAATTTCTTATTTTTTATGAATAAATTAAAAAAAGGTCAGTACATATATATAGACTCTTGTCTGTGAATATTAAACTGCAAAAATACTTATTTTAATACGAATCCTCATGTTCTGCATGTTCATTTGAGTACCAGAAAATACACAACACAGAATTTGTGAAAAAAAAAAAATTATATATTCATTATTATTATTTATTAATTTTAGATGTTTACATTTGGAAAAGCTGTGCTTCCTGCATAAACCTGTCCCTGTTGGTTTGGCAGTAGCTTGCTTGCCCTACACAGTTACCTTGTTTAATTTCTTAATTCAAGTTACATATATTTTGTTCTATTTGTGTTATTTAAGTTATTTATAATAAGTGAAGTGAAGTTTACTGTTAAGTGCACTGATGTCAAGACTCATTTTGAATAATAAAGTTTGTTAAATACCCTGCCTCCACTACATAGGCCTATGTTTGTCACATCATTATACGTGTTTGAACACCACATTTGAGTAATCATTGCAAAAAATGTGTTTATGTATATATATTTACTGTATTCTATATACAGTACCAGTCAAAAGTTTGGACACATGAATGGGAAGTGTGTCCAAATGTTTGACTATACTGTACTGTAATATAGCCTACACAAAGAATATCGGCCGATATATCGATCTTTTTTTACTCCCTAATATCGGTATTGACATCGGCCCCCAAAAAACCCATTATCGGTCGGCTCTAATTATAACTATAAATAATTATCAATAAATTAAAAATAAAACAAATATTTTAAATTACATTTTTTTATTAAATGTAAAACTATATATACAAAAAATGACATTTATTAAATTAAATTATATTTAAATTAATAAAAGAAAATTTACATTCTGCATAGTAAGCTGTATGCTACCCCTACTTTCTGCACAGCGCTCATCTGTATCTCTCTGCACAGTAGGACACAGACACGCTTCAGGGAGGAATGCTAAACTTCTCCTTTGGGATTAATAACATCTACAAAGCCAGCTATAGATCAGTCTGTATGTGTTTTTGAGGCAGTCAATGTGACTTAAGGAGCCTCAGAACCATCAGTCTGTCACGTATATCAGGTCATACGTATGTGTGTGTGTGTTTTGAAGCATCAGTGCGTAAGGCCGCCCTCAAGTGGCCCGTGACTCATATAAACGGCTGACATTTAGCACAGGGCTCTGAGGTGAGCAGTGCAATTTCATATACTCACATGTCCTCCGGCGTCCAATGAAGCAGCACCTTCACTTTCCCAGAATCCTCCTTCCGCCTGGCGATCACCTGCTCAATTACACACAATGAGAAGAAATGCATAAGATCTTGTTTATTGGTTAATTCCATGCTACATACTAGCTGTGTGCTTGCTGGTTAAATGGGACGGTTTTCATGGGTTTTTTGGAGCAGAAGGCGAGGTCGTGTCTGTGGCCGTAAAGATGAGGGCCTGTGTGCTGGCAGCAGCTCATTAACTGTTTAATTAAAGACACAGGGGAGCAGCGGCCCAGACTAACTGGACTGTGAGAGCCCAAGCAAGTCTGACTTCAGCTCAGAGTTCCTTAGAAAGGATTATGGAAAGTGAATGCGCTGATGAGATGGTTAGCATATAAAAAGAAACGAATTCAGAACAGAAACTAACAACATGGGCTGCGTTTGGAATGGAATAATAGTGCACTGCATACTAAGCATTTAGTGATGCCTACTATTTTTCCCTCAATAAAACAAGAATACACACTACAGTGAAGACACTGATTGGGAAAATAAATCAATATACAAGTACTAGGATACTCCTTACAGTTTCTACTACAAACAAAAAAGTATTTAAAAGAATATTCAGTATGCAATATAAAGTTTTGTAAACAATAGTATGCCATGATTTTGTCACGTGAACTCACTATGTTAATATTTGGTGCTTGATCAATAACGAATCATTAAATTTAGGTATTCTACACAGTATGAGTATCATGCTAGTAGCTAATATAGTAGCATGTATAGTAGCATGATTAAGTGTTGGTACCCACCGTACTGTGAAACACAACACTGTGGCCTTTGCCTTGGCTCTCAATATGAGTGGCTAGATTGAGGCAGATGGCGCGATGACGGATTGCATCCATGGTCTGAGCATCAAAAAAGTCGTGAGGTCGTGCTGGTGGGAAGAAACAGAATGGCGTTATCGAGCGGGAGTTTTGAACCCAGAATTAAACAAGGACTGAAGTTACACTGACGCTTACGCAACGACCTCCGCCGTTTGTACTTGAGTTTCCTTCGTTTGTTGATGCCCGCTTTGGAAGGCGACTCTTCCTTCACCTTGGTTTGGCTTGAGAGTTTGGAGGAATTCTGAGAGCTGAAGTGGGTCGGTACGTGGCGCGCTAGCCCCCCCTGGGAGGCGAAGGTGGCATTGCAACCTCCCACCACACACTTCACAGAGACAGACATTGGTCAGAGCAATTACAGCAAATAAAAAACAACTCACATGAACTCTTAGCAACGCTGAGCTGTAATTACAGGATGAGTTTTGTGGACAGTGTTTTCATTGTCTAGCCATGATGACAAAGTTCCCTCATAAACAAAAATGCAGCCGTATGCAAGGCTATACTTGTATAACAGTATTAACTCATACAATGCATTACACAAAATATGTCAGTGATATTTCAACTCAAAATCAAACGAATGAGAAGATAATTTTTTTCCCCTTAAAATTCTAATTTATTAATGTCATAAAAATCTAAATGGACATTTTTCCCCAGTTTAGATATTTTGGTGAAATGTGGCCTGATGTGTGAGACTGACCCTGTAAGACAATTGAAAGTTGTGCTTCAGAATTGCATTAAATAAAGAACCTGTTTAAAAAAAACAAAAAACAAATAATATTTTACTAAACTACAAAAATAAATCAAACTAAATCGACTAAATAAAATGTTAAATGAATTCAAATGTAATGAAATAGAAACTTAAAAACTAGTAGCAGTGATAGTAACATTTGTAGACAAATTCTTGATGTTGCTTGAGAAAGCCTAGTCTGAATATTTAAAATAGCTTAACAAGCTGTAAGTTTGAAAAATTTTAAATCTTTTAAAATCTTGAGGTTTGAAGGTTAAGTACTTTTACATTTGCAATCATTTTAAAAGCTTGGGGTTTTTAAGTATTTTTTTTTAAAGATTATAGTAATTTAAATTCAATAAAACACAATTAAAGGGGTCATTTTTTAAAGATCATTATTTTGTGTATTTGGTGTAGAATATCTCTTTGGTTTTGAGACTTTAGTCTTTGCAACTTCAGGGATCTTATCGATGCACAATCAGCTTGTAACACTCCAAAGAGAAAGGAAAACTTGAAATCGCATCATATGACCCCTTTAAATAAAATAGAAACTACAAAACGAAATAAAAAACTGATTAAATAAAACAAGAAAAAATAAACCGATTACAATTAAATAAAATAGAAACTAAAAAATACAAAAATTAATACATTTTTTGTGTGTGTGTGCGCAAAGAGGCCAACCTTAAATGGTTTGTCTCCACTGTGTGAGAGCATGTGTCTCTGCAGCCAGCTCTGACTGGTGGACGGTGTGTTATACACCTTACAGCCTTTCCAAAGACACACGAAAACCTGCGTGCAAACAGTGAGCAATGCAAGAATTTCACTCTATACATGTCTCAAAAAGCATTTGGACATTTCAAACATCTTTTTGTAAAATACTTTGCTTTAAAAATGCGTGTTTGCTTCTAATGCGCTGCCACATTTAATATGGCTTAAATGCTTTTTGGGGCATAAAACGAGCATGCACACACACATACTGACCCCGCCGCGCTGTCCGTCCACGTGCACTCCACGGATGTGTTCGGCCAGGTCCGGGCTGCTGTTGAACAGCATGTGGCACTGATCCCAGCAGCAGGGGTAAGATGAGCCCTTAGTGGAGGAGGAAGACGTCCCACCGTGTCCGTTCATCATAGCTGGGGTAGAACGACCGCTGGATGCAATGCTCTCCATGTCCATGAGAGTACTGCTGATACTGAAACACACAGAAACAATGACTTTGTACAAAGAAAACCAAATTCCATTCAGAAATCTATTAAGTTTAGAGGTGCACCAATGTGTGTTTATGTTTCGCTGCCTGATATGAAAGTAATCTGGGAGTTTATGCTGATATTTGAATGTCAAAAGTACTATTAGTAATTTCTTTTGGTGGAAACGTTTTAATGCCCTTTAACAATGTTTTCAGGATTAAATCCCACTGTAGTAATGAATAGCCACTAAAATATCATCTACATGCACAAAACCCCAGATACAAAGATGGACATGATGAGGTTGAAAATGACAGGTTGTGGCACTGATAAGCAGTACAACACAAAAAAGCAAACAAGGAGCGACTGATTGAGAAGAACGACTAATACAGAAACTTTATCTTGATTTTTTGTAGTAAATCCTGCAATGCAGCACCCACGTTAACAACCATGAGTCTTTGTGCACGGTAAATGAGGCCAGTGCAGCAAGGCGACCCCCTAACCGTGGCACACAAATGCTGTAATAGTGATCTTTTGAGCGCGCAGCTGTGCAGTGTGGGAGAGGACAGCAGTAAACTGCTGCAGTAAAACACCATGAACTCCAGTGAATGTGACTGAATGGCTCCTGAGGGGAGAGGAGGGGCTCGCACACACTTCCATCTGTTGGTTCCTTGCAGACTTCACTGCCCACAACTGACGCTGAATCCCAGGATGTGCCAGAGAACAGGATGAGACAAACTCCAACTGCCAGTCTGACTACTGATGAAGTGATAAAGTGTTTACAGCTGCAAAACCCACAGGTACGTCAGTGATTTTTATTTGATGAAAATCCTCCAACTGGATTTTTACATTATCTGAAAAATGCACATAAACGGTGCATGCACTAGCGTTCAATATTTTGCATCAGGGACTCGTCACTTGTTCAAATCAATTTCCACAAGTATGAACAATAGTAATGCTTGACTTGTTCATCTCCACTAAAAATAAATACTAACATGAAATGCATTAATATTTCAGACTTATATGCATTCATTGGGTCACTAAACAGTTGTATTTGAGCGTCTGACATCTGACAGATATTAGCACCAGTTTTTTTTAATCTGAAAGCAGCAGCTGGTTTCTCTTTACTCATCTGACAGACTACAAAGTGGGTTAAAACCTCGACAAATGGGGTCTTTTAATTCTTTAGGCTGAAGTGCAGGAGCCATCAGACATTACACATGTACGTGAGAGATTTCATTTCAAAACTGGCTGAAGAGGACGAGCAAACAACTAACACCTGCTTTTACTCAAACGTCCCATCCAGCGGAGTTCCCCTGCACCGGATCTCTCAACTCAAAGTTGCACTTTCACATATTCAAGCTGGCACACCTAGTGTACTGGCATCGACATCAAACCTTGATGATTTTTAGATAACATAAATTTAGGTCTGTTCCTCATGCAAAGTTTATTATATGACCCAGTCCACAAAGAACAGTGCAACTTCACCTAAAATCTCCTTTTGTGCTCCAAGGGTCTGAAACAGTATGTTAAATGGCACATTTATGCAAAAACAATATTATAATTGACAATTTAACAAATTACCAAAATGATTTGTTATCAGGGTTGAAAATTAATAGTGGCTTCAGGAATAAATGCCCCCCAAATTGAAGACAAGGAGACTAAAAATGCCTGTGTACAATTAAACTAAATTTATTACGACTGTTGTGATTAAGGTGAAATTGAATGAAGTGTCGACTGAGTCATTACATTTAGACCTGCTCACGTCGAATCAAAGATTTCTTTGTTTTTGCAGCATTATAACCAATTGCACACACGTTGAGTGCATTGATGCGATAGCCAAATTAGTTTTGTTTACATAAGTCACTGGTTGAAAATAAAGCCACTGAAAATTATGCCACTGTTGTGCTGAAAATGATGCCAGTGTGCAAATATTGCCACTTAAAGGGATAGTTCACCCAAAAATACAAAAATTCTGTCATTTGGTCACCTTCATGTTGTTCCAAACCTGTACGAGTTTCTTGATGAACAGTTAATGGTCGCTATCGACTTCCATAGTACTTTTTTTTTTCCATACTATGGAGATCAATGGCTACCATCAACTCTTTGGTCACCAAACTCTTTTGTGTTCAAAAGAAGAAAGAAACCCATACAGAGATTTGGAATAACTTGAGGGTGATTACATGACGAAATTATCATTTTTGGGTGAACTATCCCTTTAATAGAAATATAATTTCTGCGCCTGTTTCTGATTAATAACCTGGACTACATGTGGATCTGAACTGAAGACAATGAACATTTCCAAATGATACCTGAGCTACACTTTAAAAGCACGTCTTGTCTTATCCGCCAGTTGTCGTGTGGTCTGGGTCATACTCTCCCAGATGTCCCGTGCAAAAGTTACATTCAACCCCTCCAGCTGCCCAAACAGCAGGGCTCAGGGCCTCTGCTCGGATTTTAAGAGCTTTATTCCCAGCGAAAGCTCCACAAAGCAGCATGTTTGGCACAGAGCAGGGATTCCCATCCGCACACACGCATTCCATCTTTCTCCTGCTTCCACCCCTGAGCTGACCTGATACATTGTGTTCACCGTGGATTCGTTCCACCGTGTCTGCGGATAGTCTATGGAGATTTCCCATGTGCTGCGAGCCAGGACATCTACAGTGCAACGGATGACGAGGATCCATTTTCTCGTGCCTTTAGAGTAAGACCAATAATAAAAGAGCCTCCCTGGCATGATAAAGGCAGATGATATCCAGCACCTCAACAGAAGGGGCCATAAAACACACGCACAACCGCACACACATTACCCTGGAGATCTGGAAAGATGGCAAAAGGTCTCGTGGGTCCGAGCACGCCGGATGACGTAAAAGCAGTTCAAAACAAAGCGCTTGACTTGATAAGGCAAAAACAGGCCGACATCAACCTCTCAGGACAATAACTGCTGTCTGTGCTTTATCATGATGGATAAATGATTCTGTAAGTTCTGAAATGACTTGAATGGTGACTGTGGCTCAATCTCACTTTCACTGGATCGGTCTTTCATGCAATGAATGTGAGCATCACCACATCATTCTGACTAACCCCTCGTGTTTCTGTGACAAAGACATTTAAATGAGTTTTATGGTACAGAAATACTCTGGATTAATTAGTTACTAAAGTGACAAAAGGGCAAGACAGTTAAAATTAGACTCAGAAATATGGTTAAAATACATCTGGGATTGTTGTACTATAAATGTAAACACTAAAAATATACTGATGTTATTTCATCGCCAATACAGATGTATACTGCTTTTTGACACAATTGATGAGTTTCTAAAGAAAACCACCCAAAAACAGTATTTGCATGTGAAGTAACTTAAGTAATGTGTTGTTTAATTAAACCTTGTCAAGTGAGAAGTGCAGCTTATATTTGCAACTATTTAGATAACTACACAAATAACATTAATAGAAATGAAAAAAAAAAAAAAGATTGGTAAACATTGCTTTTTTATGATTTATACACTACTTTTAAGTGTCCAATAAGTGATTTGCAAAACCAGTTTTAATGGTTTTATTTCTGCATTTTGACATCAGAGCTCATGCCACTTTTAACGTAACTAAATAAATAACCATAATACTATACAATGTCTTATGAATATAATGATTTTTGTACTTTTTTGATGGTTACATGATGTATTTGCAAAATATATATTATTTGTTTAATTTCTGCTTTCGATAAAATAACTAATAGTAAATAAATGACCATAAGACTACAATATGCCTTATGAATATTATGATTGTTTTGTACTTTTCTGATGGCCACACCACGTTTTTGCAGAACATATTTAATTTCTTCTTTTTTGACAAAATAACTAATAGTAACTAATTTATTTACCATACGACTATAAATGTCTAATGAAAATTATAATTTTTTGAACGTTTTTGATGGTTACACCATGTGTTTGCAGAAGAGATATTATTTGTTTAACTTCTGTTTTTGATAAAATAACTAATAGTAAATGACATAAGACTACACAAAATGCCTTATAAACATTTTTTTTGTTCTTTTTATGGTCACGCCACGTATTGGCAGAACAGATATTATGTTTAATTTCTGCTTTTTGCAACAGAAAATAGATGACCATAAGACTATACAATAAGCCTCATGAATATTACATGAATTATTGTTAGTAATATAGTTGTTATTTCTGCCATTATTATTATTATTATTTCTGGTCTAAACTGTCACAAATGTATGGTCATCTTCATTTGGGCTCAGTCTAATTGTTCAGCTACACATTTCTGGCTTGAGAGAGTTGAGTAATTATCCAAACACCACATAAAACACGTCATGTTTCAGCAGACCTGATATTAAAGGGTTAGTTACACAAAAATAAAAATTCTGTCATTAATTACTCACCCTCATGCCGTTCCAAAGCCGTAAGACCTTTGTTCGTCTTCGGAACACAAATTAAGATATTTTTGATGCATTCTGAGAGCTCTCTGACCCTCCCATAGACAGCAACGCAACTGCAATATTCCCAGCTCCAGAAGCTAGTAAAGACATCGGTAAAACAGTCCATGTGACATCAGTGGCTCAACTTCAATTTTGCAAAGCTACGAGAACACTTTGCGTGCGCAAAGAAAACAAAAATAACAATTTATTCAACAATTCTTCTCCTCGAGTTACCGTCTTCCACCATTTTGGAGAGTCCCACGACACATGTGTAATCAGTGTGGTTTACGTTCAGCATGCACGCGTTTTCTCCTGAACATAAACAACGCTGATTATTACGTTCTGGGGTACTCTCCAAAATGGCGAAAGACGGTAACTCGGGGAGAAGAATTGTTGAATAGCCTAAATTGTCATTTTTGTTTTCTTTGCGGTTTGCGCAAAAAAAGTATTCTCGTAGCTTTGCAAAACAGAAGTTGAGCCACTGACGTCACATGGACTGCTTTACCGATGTCTTTACTATGTTTCTGAGCCTGGGAACATTGCAGTTGCGTTGCTGTCTATGCAGGATCAGAGAACTCTCAGATTTCATCAAAAATATCTTAATTTGTGACGCTGGAGCACAAAAGCAGTCATAAGTAGCACAGGTATATTTGTAGCAACAGCCAACAATACATTGTATGGGTCAAAATGATCAATTTTTCTTTTATGCCAAAAATCATTAGAATATTAAGTAAAGATCATGTTCCATTAAGATATTTTGTAAAGTCCTACCATAAATATCAAAACTTCATTTTTTATTAATAATATGCATTGCTACGAGCTTCGTTTGGACAACTTTAAAGGCGATTTTATATTCTCGTAGCTTTGCAAAACAGAAGTTGAGCCACTGACGTCACATGGACTGCTTTACCGATGTCTTTACTATGTTTCTGAGCCTGGGAACATTGCAGTTGCGTTGCTGTCTATGCAGGATCAGAGAACTCTCAGATCTCATCAAAAATATCTTAATTTGTGACCCTGGAGCACAAAAGCAGTCAGAAGTAGCACAGGTATATTTGTAGCAACAGCCAACAATACATTGTATGGGTCAAAATGATCAATTTTTCTTTTATGCCAAAAATCATTAGAATATTAAGTAAAGATCATGTTCCATTAAGATATTTTGTAAAGTCCTACCATAAATATCAAAACTTCATTTTTTATTAATAATATGCATTGCTACGAGCTTCGTTTGGACAACTTTAAAGGCGATTTTCTCAATATTTTGATTTTTTTGCACCCTCAGGTTCCTGATATTCAAGTAGCTGTATCTCGACCAAATATTGTCCGATCCTAACACACCATGCATCAATGGAAAGTTGATTTATTCCGCTTTCAGATGATGTATAAATCTCAATTTCATAAAACTGACCCTTATGACTGGTTTTGTGGTCACATTTGTGTTCTGAAGACGAACGAAGAAGGTCTTACGGGTCTGGAACGAAATGAGGGCGAGTAATTAATGACTACATTTTCATTTTTGCGTGAACTAACCCTTTAAACGACTGATTGAGCGGAATATATCGGTAAATATCGGTTGCGTACGCACCTGTCCTCCGAGTCCATGCGGCTGAGCGGCTCTCCATCCGAGGACGAGCTCATCATCTCCAGACTCGCTCGCCTCTTCATTCCTCCGCCGCTGCCGGTTTTCTCCGCCGGTGAAGACGCGCTCTCCTCCTCCCTTTGTTCTCTCTTCATCCGCTCCGCCGTTCCGTCCGCGCAGCCGGGGCTCTTCTGCGGCTCTTTCTCCGGCTCCGCTTCGGTCTCGCCATCCTCGTCGTTGCCGCCGTCTCCCCGCGTGGCTTCCTCCGTTTTTTGTTCCGTAGACTCGCGTGCGTTGGGCTTCTCGTCGGTCTCCGCAGCGTCCATCTTAACGGCCGGTTCCGGATCTGCGGCGCGGAGGCCCGACTCGCTCCCGTCGCCGTTTTGTTCGCTCGGGCTCTGCGACTCTTGCTCGGAACCGTCAGAAGTCATCGCAGCCATCGGTTCCGCTCGTCTGCGCGCGGTCTGGCCGGGTTTAAGCGACGGGAAACGGATGAAACGCGGAGACTTTCGGCGACCGGATCGAGAAGCTGAACTCTGCTGAGGCTGCTCGGGGAGGAGCGAGTGACGTCGCGCTTATTATGAATGCCTCCACGTGCTCGCCACTAAACCTGACCCTGGAGCACGAAACCAGTCACAAGGGTCCGTTTTCTGAAATTGAGATTTATACACCATCTGAAAGCTGAATAAGTAATCTTTCCATTGATGTATGGTTTGTTAGGAGAGAACAATATTTGGTCGAGATGCAACTATTTGAAAATCTGGAATCTGAGGGTGCAAAAAAAATCTAAATATTGAGAAAATCGCCTTTAAAGTTGTCTAAATGAAGCTCTTAGCAATGCATATTACTAATCAAAAATGAACTTTTGATATAGTTACGGTATAAATTTACAAAATATCTACACGGAACATGATCTTTACTTAATATCCTAATGATTTTTGGCATAAAAGAAAAATCAATCATTTTGACCCATAAAATGCATTTAATATGAATTTATTTCCACTTCTTTAAGAAGTACATTACAATAATAGTAGTGTTATAAAACACTATAAAAATACATTTAGATGCACATATGAAATTCTTTAGTTATTTGAAAGTTATTTTCGAAAATCTGACTGAAATAAAAGATGAATCATTTAAATTAGTATAGCATTATTAATTCATACTTGAGATACTTTGAAAAAAATCTAAGTGGTGTAAAAACATTTATTAAAAGACGTTTAACATTATTATTATTATTGTTATTATTTCCTAAAACACAATAAATTGATTCTACCTGTTAAATATGATGCATATATATTTTTAAAAAACATAATATATATATATATATATATATATATATATATATATATATATTTTTTTGG